AAGAGGGCCACATCATTCTGAACAAAAAAAAAAAAATTGAACAAGAAGATATTGCAATCATGAACATATATTCACCAAATTGCGGTGCCCCCGAAAACATAAAAACAACACTACAGGACTTTAAGACACAGACTAACCCCAACTCAGTGATAGTAGGGGACTTCAATACCCCACTGTCTCCATACCTCACTGTCTCCATTAGACAGATAACTGGACAAAGAATAAACAGAGAGACGTCTGAATTAAATGATACCATACATCAAATGGACCTAACAGACATCTTTCAATCATTCTACCCATAAAAACAACACTACAGGACTTTAAGACACAGACTAACCCCAACTCAGTGATAGTAGGGGACTTCAATACCCCACTGTCTCCATACCTCACTGTCTCCATTAGACAGATAACTGGACAAAGAATAAACAGAGAGACGTCTGAATTAAATGATACCATACATCAAATGGACCTAACAGACATCTTTCAATCATTCTACCCAAATACTAAAGAATACACTTTTTACTCAGCACCTCATGGAACTTTTTCAAAAATTGAGCACATACTGGGCCACAAAACAAACCTCAACAAATACAAAAATACGAAATAATCCCATGCATTCTATCGGACCACAAAGCAATAAGGCTCAAAGTCAACACTGGACGAAGCTCTAGTCACTACATGAACTCTTGGCAATTTGACAATACACTCCGAAACAATGAGTGGGTTAAAGGAGAAATTAAGAAAGAAATAAAAGAATTCCTTGAATTCAACGGAAAGGACAATATAACACAATGCAACCTCTGGGACATATTAAAAGCAGTCCTAAGAGGGAAGTTTATAGCTCTAAGTGCCTACATTAAAAAATTGGATAGAGCCCAAATAAATGACCTAACACTGCAACTCAAGTCACTGGAAAGGCAAGAACAAATGAAACCCAAACCCAGCAGAAGAGAAGAAATAACAAAAATCAAAGCCGAAATTAATGAAATAGAAACAAAGAATACACACACACACACAAAAAAAC